GATCAGAACTTGCAATCCGACCTGTAGATTTTTGAACAAAAACACATGGTTGCTCTTTTAAGCGCTAAGTTATGGATTGGTTTGTTACACAGAAATTAATAAATTATATGATATACGTAGGACATAGCAGTACAAAAACATATTTCCAAAGAACATTAACATTTTCATATCATGTATCTGTTGTTATATGAAAAGTCCTTTGTGAGTAACTAGATTTTTAGTGTGGGATGTGACCCTTACTTTATCCTTGGCTTTATAGATACCCTAAACATTTGTCAAATCAATAAAAAAAAAAAAAATCAGGCACCAATTAAGTGCCTGGAACAGCACTAGATGCTGAGAACACAAGTGTGAATCAGCTAGACTACTAAGGACTCTATGTTTATTGAGCTTACCCTGAAGTCAAGTTCTTGGACTATTACAATATACTCTCTGATACTTGCCATGGAAAATTCTTTGTTCTCCTAAGTCAAGCTGACTTCCAAAAATTGCTCCATTTATGCATTTCATTATATATGGCCATGATCTTTCCCTTCTCCCAGAAATTCTTCAGCAATGATATTCATTGGTTCTGTTCATTGATATTTCTATTCTCATTCTTTGGGGAAACATGGTAGCATTGTACTTTCCCATATGCAGTAGGCTGCAAAATGGCCACAAATTATTTCTTTCCCCTATCTATACCCCTTTGGAATGTGTCTTCCAGATATTTTTTAAAGACATAGAATCTATTTTACCATCCTGATGCTTGGCTTGGCTATATGATTTGCTTTAGCCATTGGAACTAGAGCAAATGGGACTCAAGCTGAAACTTAAAAAGTATTTGTGTATTGGGGCTTGCTCTCTTGCTGCTCTTAGAATACTGTAACTGCCACCATGTGAACATGCCAGGGCTAGCCTCTTGATGATGAGGGACACCTGGCCAGATTGCTCTGTTGTCCTAGCCGATAGTCAGCTCACCCTCAGAAACAGAGCTGCCTTGCTGACAGGCAGATAATCACAAATACCCAAGTAAGCGCAGCCCAGGCCAGGAGAAGTGTCTGGCTGAGGCTAATACAAATTTCCATTCCATACAATCATGAGCTAAATGAATAGTTGATGTTTTAAGCTATTAAGTTTTGGAGTGGCTTGTTATGCCCTTAAAGCTATCTGATATATCTCTCCTTTGAAGTTAGGCATGACCACATGATTTACTTCATCCAGGGAACTATGTCACTTCTGGCAGAAGCTTTTAAAAGCTGGATTGTGATTCAGCATCTTATTTTTCTTGTCATAGGGTGCTTCCAAATGGTAGGGCTTCATAAACTTGGGTCCCTTTATGGACATGGAACAGTTCTCCCCATTCTCCCTGATACTTTTCAGAGAACATATAGTTTAAGAAATAAATCTTTGTTGTAATGAGCACTGGGTATTATATGTAAGTGATGAATCACTAAATCCTACACCTGAAACCAATTTTACCATACACGTTACCTAACTAGAATTTAAATAAAACTTGAAATAAAAGAAATGGATCTTTGTATTAAACCTCTGAGATTTTGGGTTACTGTTACTAAACCATAACCTAGTCCATTCTGACTAATGTAGAAATTGGTACCCAGGAGGTATAGTTATGACAGAAAACCTAAAATATGTAGCTGTGATTTAGAAACTCAGTGGGTGGTGGCAAGGAAACTATTGTTAGTAGCTGGAAAGTTGGCAATCCATGCTAGCTGTGGTAAAATATTTGCTAGAACTATTCATGTGTGTCTCCCATTCTTCCCCTTTCTAAATAGGAATGTTTACCATGGTTATTCTGTCACTATTCCAGCACTGTTTGTTGAGTACGTGTGTGTGCGTGTGTGTGCGTGCGCGTGTGTGTGTGTGTGTGTGTGTGTGTGTGTGTGTGTATAACCAGGGAGGATAGATTATCTTTCACAAAAGAAGTTTTATCCTGTTTTAATAAGGGACTACCAAGATTCACCCAGAGATGTTGAACTTTGAGATTAATGCCTTTACTGAATGAAAATGTTAGAATTGTCTCATGTGTGATAGGAGTGAATGTATTCTGTATCATAAGTTGAGTGAACTACAGGTTGATGACTAGAAGAATGGATTGCAGTAATCATTGGTGCAGTTTACCTGTAAATTTGGGTTATCTACCTTCTGAGAAAAAAGAATTATACTTCCCTGCTCCTTTAAAGATAGTATGCTCATATGGTTTGCTTTTGTCATGAAATGGGAGTAGAATTGAGTTGTATAACTTTCAGGAAGAACCAGTTTGCCATGCATGTTCTTTCTGCATATCGTGAAAGTGGGGACATTCTAGAGACTGGAGCCTCCTTAAGTCATCTGGTTGCTTGGACCATCTGCAGTCCTCCCTCTCTCCCATCCCTCACCACCCGGCAGCCCCCCATGAACAGTCAGATAAGCAGGAAATACCATTTTTTGCTGTTTTAGATTTTTTGTTACTGCACCATAACCTAGCCCATCCTAACTAATGTAGATTACTGTAAAAGTGATCAGGAAACCTACAAAGGCTGATCATCTGGGCAATTGTAATATGAGTGGAATCTGTAACTGAATCCATCCATTGATCATTCCAAAAGCATCTTCACAAGTGATTTCACTTGCTCCTCCAACTATGACCATTCTGGGAAGCGTGACTGTGAAATTCAAATTTCATCCTTTTTTTCTTTGTGAAAATGTAAAACTACATCTTCATTATTGAGAGGTAATGAACAATGAAACACTTTTTCATAGGAAGAAAAAAAAAAAGGAAGCAAGCAAGCAATCCAGAAAGCCAATAAGGATAAGCCACAAAACAGGGAGGGTGGAACTGAACTCAGAATGCATAGGAGTTTCCAAGAAGAATAAAACGTATTGTCCACAGACTTGGGCATACATTTCCAGTAATACACAGTACTTCTCAGCAAACTTTGGGTGTCTTAGCTTTGGCTTGACCCCTGCACATATACAGAACTTCATGCACACTCTGGTGCAAAAGTAAAAAATGTCATTGGAGTTTATATTTAATCAAAAGTTTTCTCTCTCTCTCTGAAGAAATATTTTCTCTAGCATAGCGTAGAATTTATTCCATAACATTTGTAAAACGCTAAATCCCGTGCCATGCACTGTACTAGAGTCAGAGAAGTGAGAGATGTCAAGGTACAGCCGTCTCAGTGGGTCGCTGTCCTACGGGAGTTTACATTTTGTGGAACACAACAGTTTCCCCTTTCGGAGTTTTCACCTAGCCACATCCAATCCCCCCCCGTAAATAATTTTCTATGAAAAGCCTCTTTTTTCCTAATCCTTGTAAATACTCTCGCTCTCGGAGATCTCTTTGCCCTGGAACTGAAGTCACTTTGGCATCTCCCTCTGGATGTTTGGCAGTTATTTCTGATGCGGCCGAATGGCCTGCTTGCTCTATTCCTGCATCTATTCCTGCTCTATTCCTGTCATCCCGGTGGCAGGATGACAGTGACCCCCAAAAGTTTCCAAGACCTAAAGAAGCACAAAGCGCAGACAACTCGGGCGGTTTCCACCGCTCTTCTATCTGGGAGCCCAGAGAATGTAAGACGGCTGGGTCAGACCAGGCGACGCTGGCAGCGCAATCCTGATGGCGAGTTGGAGGCTAAACCCACAAGTCGCACAGCGCAAAGAAGTCAGAGGCCAGTCTGCAAGCCCAAGTGTGAGACAACTAGTGAGTGTCCATCCCTGCTGGACTACAACGACCGGCAGGCATCGCGTCGCGGCGGCAAGCTCCGCTTCGGGACCCCGGCGCAACGGAGCCTGGGAAGTGAAGTCTCCAGGCGGCCTGAGTCGCGTCGCGAAGTCAGAAGGGAGGCGTTGCTAGTCCGCTCCATTAGCACGCTGGTTTCTGGCGGGGCTCCGAGGCTCTCGCTCCCGCTCAGGATTTTCGCGGGCGGTGGGAGCAGTATGGCTTGCTTGAGTAAACTCCGGCGGGAGGAGGGAGATGGGAGTGGATGGGGAGGCGGGGTCAGCGGAAGCGGCAGGTTGCTTCCTTCTCCTCACGCTCCCTCCCCGCCTCTCCCTGAGGGAGTGGTGGGAGGGGGAGGGAAGGGCAGAGGGAAGGTAGTGACACGTGTCAATCAACCCCCCCTCCGGGGGGTGCGCGCTCCGGGGCTCGCGCCGAGGGCTCGCGCCCCTGCCTCGTGCCTGCGCCGCTCGTATGTAAATGAGGGCGCGTGACGCGGGACGCAGATGGACAAGGGAAGAGAGAGAATGGCCGCTGCCGCCGCCGCTGCTGCCGCCGCCGCCGCCGCCGCTCAGTGCCGGAGCCCTCGGTGCGCGGCGGAGAGGAGAGGATTCCGGCGGGAACTCGACTCTTGGCGCCACCGCCTCATGCACTGTGTAGGTAAGAGAGACACGGGCCGGGGCCCCGGCTCCGCGCGGCGACGGCTGCAGCAGCCCGAGGAGTTTGTGGCTGAGGGGGTTAGTTCAGTCTCTCGTTCGGGTCAGTTCAATGGGGGAGCGCGATGGGAGCGGCGGCGGCGCGGCGGCCCCGGCGCTTGCCTTTTGTCTGGGGGCTCTCGCCCTGCGCGGTTCGCGCTCCTTCCCTTCTCAGCTCTTGGGCTCCTCAGGAACTGTTAGTTCGGACCCGCTCGCCGAGCCCCCGAGGAAACCTCTGGCTCGCGCTCTCCCCGAAACTCCGCGGTGCCCCCTCGCCGCCCGCCGTCCACCCTGTCGGGGGGAGGCAGCGGCCCGGTGGGTCGGCGCCGGGGCGGAGGGGAGCCTGCGGGCAGGGCCGGCGGGAGGAAGGCGGGCTGGTCCGCGCCCCCGCCGGGCGCACACACACCCCCTTCTCGCCGCCGGGGGCCGGGCGGGTAGACGCGGCCGAGTTCCCGGTGACTAGGACCGGGGCGACCCCCGGGCGCTAGCGGGGCGGGGGTCGCGGGTGGGCCGGCTGGGGGCGAGGGGCGGCGGGGGCGTCGCCCGAGGGGCGGGGGCACCCAACTCTGCCCTCTCGCGCTCGGCGGCGACCGCGGCGGCGGCGGCGCTGTGTGTACCTCTTTAAGAAGGAGCTGCTCGAGCGCTGACGGTTGGGATTTGAAGTTCTTCCTCCCTCTTTGGAAGTCTGGACGGATGGGGGGTGTTGCCATGGCGACGGCACCCTTCTCCCCCCGCCCCCCTTTCCTCCTCGCGGACGCCGGGACGACTCTGGTCCTCTTGTACTGTCATGTGATGGACCCTTCCCTGCATGTACACGCACGTCGCCCTCCCCACCTCCCATCCCCGTTCTCTTGTAATTCGGTCTTCCCTTTTGGTGGGGTGGGAATCGTTTTGCTACAAACTTCTGGGCTTGGGGCTGTCATTCTGCGGGTTGCTCGGGGTGGCAGGAGGTGGTGGGAACTCCCCACCGTGCCGCCGTCGCTTTTTTGTCTGAGTGAGACGTATGCGAGGAGCTGTTATCCAGCAGGTTGGTTTAGTGGGCACAGAAGGGGCAAGGAGGGTTATGGGATGGGGTGTGTTGTGCCTGTTTGTTTTGGAAGGCGGTTGCGGGTAGGAGAGTAGGGGAAGAGGTAGAAAGGAGGGTTGCATTGTCTTAAGAAGTGGATGGATAGCGGCAGCAGCTTGCTCCACTGGCGATTAAATCTTAGCATTTGGAGTTGAGGAGTAACCTTAGTGCCTTAAGAAAACAACTCTCTTACCTTCTTTCCATCTGTTCTTGCGCCACCTCGCGCCCCTTTTCCCCCACCCCTCTCAGATTTGTTTGGTTAGCCTGAAGATCTTTCTCGTTTTTCACTAGTGAAAAGGAGATAGTGGTAGGATAAACTAATACAGCCTCAGCTCAGAAATGTGCACTGCAGAAAACGGTGGAAATAGGGAAATGACAAGAAAGAAGATTGCTCTGACTAGGAGCATTTAAGTTCACTTTAGGCAACTTAATGTTTTACCCTTATAAAATATATTTTGGTTTTATTTAAGGAAACATTCTGGGAAATAGCTTTCTTTAGTCAAGTATTTATGAATGATTTAGTTCTTAAAAAAAAGTAAAAAAAAAAACAACCCTCACGGTATTATTCTTTTATAAAAATGTTAAGCTGACTGTTGCTAGTGCTTCCTAAATACAAAATGGACCCGTTTTCACAATTGCTTATCTAAAGATCTCTTCCACTGACAACCTGTGTAGAAATTGTTGAGTTCGTTCGGTTAGAATCAGGCAGAATGACAGCATTGAAACCCTGGCTCACGATATAATTGTGTTAAGTTTTGCCGCGGCACACAGTAATTCGGAGGTGTCTTAGGTCAGTTTTTGTTTTAGAATTCTTTGGGTTTTTTCCCGTATCTTCTTACTTAGATCCATGAAATATGGCTCTGTATCACAAAAATATGTGTATTTTGAAAAGTTGTCAAATTTTAATTAAACACGATGTTGGCTTTGATGGAAAAGGGGGTTTAGAATATCTGCTTTACCTACTTGGATACTCAAGTAGGATTGGAAGACATTGAAAATTGAGTGGATGTGGTATGTCTCACATGCAATCTCTATATTACATTTTTAATGTAATGTGTATAACTGTACTGTATTTGAAAGGAAATTTTTTCCTGGGCTCTAATTATATTTGAGAAATGTTTCCCATAGTCCTAGTCAGGAGACCTAGCAAAATCCATCTCATACGTTTTGTCATTGTTATTTTGAAATAAACAGTAAAACTCCTTTAAACAGGATATACACTTGTTGATTGGGTTTTTTTCCCCCCAGTATCCTATATGTGAAGCACCTATTCAGATTGTGAATTGGGATTAAGTGTAGTTTGTGTAATTATTTTAAATTGCCTCTTGCTATTAATGTGCTTACTTTCAATACTATGTAAACATATTTACAAAAAAGCCATATTCTTTTTCCTTTGCATGTGTGTGAATATTTATATGTATGTATTTTTGCATTGAATATATTCAGTGCTCTTATTGCTTGAAATAATTTTTATAAAACATTACACTTTCTACCTTTGAAAAGAAAATGAAATGACCCAAAAGTCTTTTTTTTTTTTTTAATGTTTATTTGTTTTTGAGAGAGAGAGAGAGAGAGAGAGTACGAGCAGAGAGAGGGAGACACAGAATCTGAAGCAGGCTCCAGGCTCTGAGCTGTCAACACAGAGCTGATTGCCGGGCTTGAACTGGTGAACAGGGAGATCATAACTTGAGCGAAGTTGGATGCTCAACTGACTGAGCCACCCACGCGTCACCTCGCCCCCTCCCGCCCCCACCACCAAAAGTCTTATTTTGAAATGAGACATAGGAATTGTAAGCAGTAATTTAGGGTCATATAACAAATTAATATTGAGCCAGTAGTGAAATTTTAAATCTCAGTTCTTAGCCTAGGTTTTTAAAGTAACCTGATTTTTTTTTTTTTGTAACTCATCTATATTATTCTAATTTCATGGAGGAAAAAGATCATTTTAGTTGTCATGACTGCTGGTAGTTAGCTAAGATGTTTAACCCTTGATAAGGAAAGTGATGTTTGCCTTTCTCTATTTGTGGAACTCATGTCTTTAGGTTAGATTTCTGACTACTCTGTACTTTATTCCTGGTTTTTCTTTATAATTTAATTGAAAAGTTGTTCTACAAATTCTGTGTCCTAATCAGTAGTTCTATTTACAATTTATAATTCGATTATTTTTCTATCATCATCCTGTACTATAATTTGAGTATGCTCAGCTAACAAATGTTTGAGTGCTTACTGGATTTAATAAATAGTATCCTAGGGGCGCCTGGGTGGCGCAGTCGGTTAAGCGTCCGACTTCAGCCAGGTCACGATCTCGCGGTCCGTGAGTTCCAGCCCCGCGTCGGGCTCTGGGCTGATGGCTCAGAGCCTGGAGCCTGTTTCCGATTCTGTGTCTCCCTCTCTCTCTGCCCCTCCCCCATTCATGCTCTGTCTCTCTCTGTCCCCAAAATAAATAAACGTTGAAAAAAAAAATTAAATAGTATCCTAGTACTCATTATGACTATGATTATGACTCATTAAGTGATAACAGACAAAGTCCTGGATTTTATGGAATATATAATACAGTTAGTATCTGATAAGTCATAAAATTTAAAACAAAGTAAAGTTGAGGATAAAGGAAATGCATTAGCATATTTTTAAGCATTACCAGAACTTGTATAGTCCATTAGGATAGTCAGTCTGGGAGACAGGCCAAGTTTTTGTTTTTCTACTTTTTCTTAACTTTTAATTTGGATAAAATTTCAAATTTACAAGAAAAGTTGGAAGAATAGTACAAGGAACTCCTGTATACCTTTACCCACATTCACCAGTTGTATTACATTTTGCTTACATTTTGCTGCATTTGCTTTATCATTATTGCCTTATATCTATTTATCTATGTATTTTTTTTCTGAATCATTTGAGGATAATTTGGTGACATCATACCTCTCTACCCCTAAATTCTTCAGTGTATATTTCCTAAAACCAAAGACATTATCTTACCTAATCACAGTGTATTATTAAAACCAGGGCATTTAAAAATGATATAATACTATTATCTATTTCATAATTCATGCTCAATTTTTATCTTTTATCTATTAGTCCCCTTCCTCCCCCCACCCCACATCATGTATCCTGTGATCTCTTTAGTCCTATCTCTTTAGTCTCTCTTAACGTGGAACACTTCCTCAGCCTTTCTTGTATTTCTTGACCTTGACATTTTTTAAAAGTACAGAATGGTTATTTTGTACAATGTCCCTCAATTTGAATTTGTCTGTTGTTTTCTCATGACTAGATTGGTTATACATTTTTGGCAGGAATACCTCTAAAGAGATATTCTCTCTTTATCAGTACATCATATCTTGAGGTTCGTGATGTTGGTTTGTCCCAATGTGGTGATACTAGGTTTGAAAATTTGGTTAAGGTGGTGTTCTCCATATTTCTCCCTGAAAGTTACTATTTATCCTTTTGTAATTGATATGTAATTTATGGGAAAATGTTTCGAGGAACAGAATATCTACATAGTCACACCCATATTTCACTCACAAGTTTTAACATCCTTTCATGATTTTCTATCTTCACCATTCCTTCTATAATTAGTAGTTGGTATTCTGTCATAAAGCCATCTTTCCCATCTCCTCTCCACTATTTATTTATCCAGTTATTTCTATTTGTATGAACTCCTGGATTATTATTATTATTTTTATTTTTATTATTATTATTTTTTTTTAGAGAGCGCACACCTATGAGCTGGGGAGAGAGAGGGAGAGAGGGGGAGAGACAGAGAGAAAGGGAGGGAGGGAGAGGGAGAGAGAGAGCAAGAGAGAGAATCTTAAGCAGGCTCCACGCTCAATGTGGAGCCTGATGCAGGGCTTGATCCCAAGATCCTGGAATCGTGACCTGAGCCAAAATCAAGAGTTGGATGTTCAACTGACAGGCACTCCTGAACTCATGGATTCTTACTTTATTTAATGGTTACATCCATTGCTGTCATTATTTTGATTCCCAGATTGTCTCAGGTTTGGCCTTTGGGTGCCTCATCAAGCTGGTTCCAGTGTTTTTTACAAATCACATCTCTCTACAACCCCTCTCACCCTTATCTCTCAAATGATTTTTTTTTTTTTAAAGTTCATTTATTTTATGAGAGAGAGAGAGAGCGTGCGCGAGCACCTGAGCAGGGGAAGGGAAGAGAGAGAATCCCGAGCAGGCTCCATGCTGTCAGCGTAGAGCCCAATGTGGGGCTCGGTCTCATGAACCTTGAGATCACGACCTGAGCTGAAACCACGAGTCGGATGCTTAACCAACTGAGCCAGAACCATGAGATCATGACCTCAGCTGAAGTCAGACGCTTAACTGACTGAGCCACCCAGGTGCCCCTGAAATCAGATATTTTATACATCTAACACACCTTAATTTGAACTAGCCACATTTCAGGTGCTTATTAGCCACATGTGGCAAATGGCTACCTCATTGCACAACGTAGTTCTGTGGTGTAGTAGCTCCAGCCAACTCTTGATACCATGGTACCACTTACTTCAGATTGTTGATAATAACCACACCTATAGCTTAATTTATCTTCCCCCAAATCTTTTATTTGTATAGACTAATACAGCAAATAAGTAAGCTCTGGAGCTAGACTACCTTTGAAACCTAGTGTTACCACTTACAAGTTGCCTAATCTCTCTGTACTTTAGTTTCTTATCTGTAAATTGGAGATAATAAAGTGGCTTGAGAATTAATTATGTTGATATATGCTAATATGTGTCTGTCATATAAAAAACATTCCATAAATTTTAGGTGTTATTATTAGTGATTTATACAAGTTATTAGCAGCTTTGAGCTTTATGCTTTTGCCAGTAGATTCTGTCTGGTGGGAATGCTGATACACAATAAAAGGATCATGAGGCATGTTAGTGGAAAAGATAGTGAGGGCTTGCATTATCTGTATTAAGGTTAGTTTAGAGCCACAGAGTCAGGGTTTTAGAATCACT